CATACAATCGCTATATAATCAAATGATCAAACTTGCAGTTTCACTACCTGGTGTATCATTTCCAGCTGGCCTGATCTGTATGGACACTAGACTGTTGTCATGCTCATTTAGTGAAGTTTCTCATAGTTAATCACAGCCTTGTACCTTGTAATAGACTTTAAAGGAATAAAATTTTTATTTTGTCTATTGATCATCTTTAAAGTTAATTTTATTGCAATTCCAATTCCATCCTCCTGTGTTTGTTAGCTTCTTTCGTCTTGTTCGCAGCAATGACCTATTATAATTTAAAAAAATAGGCTTAACAGCTTCTGCACCTTTCAAACGAGTTAGCAGTGTATAAACAAACAATTACACATTACATTGAAACTTGCACCTCGTTCCAGACATATTTTCCAAGCTGCTAAATATTTCCTGCTCTTTGCAAGCCTCCACAAGTCATCCTCAGTGCTTTTCTTTCAAACTTTAAAACTAAATCCATCAATTCAAAATTGCTTTTCCTATTGCATCTCTGGACAGAGGAACACAACCTTTTTGCAAGTACTATACAAATGTGTTCATCATGTAATATCAGCAACCGTAAGTTAAAAATGAACACAGACATCTATTCTGTGTTCTTTACTTTCAAGCGTCTTTTCGATCTAATACTATGTATCAGCTTTAGTTTATAGATTCAGTCCTACTTCTCTTGTAATTTATTGACAGCGCATCCTAAGCTCTGCAATTCGTACTTCATCCCTAGTGGTGGATATGACATTTGCTTAACATGACTGTTTTACCGTACAAATGAAACCAAGTTCCTTTTACTTTTTCCTCTGCTTTTTCTTTCCCGTTAGTTCTACTTCTTGCAGCTACGCGACAGTTTTTCTCTTGTTCTATTTCTTTTCCATCCATTATATAGTTACGTGTTTTATCTTCACCTCGTTCTTTTTAGTTTGTTTTAGTTCCATTTGCATCTTCCGTAAACATAGCTATAAATTTCGCACCTTTAATACTTCAGTCCTTTCTTTAAACTTAAGCCCCGCTGCCTTCTTATTTCATTACAGAGGGTCTGACCATGGAAGCCAATGACATTCCCTTATCTGCTATTGATCCATCTCTGCTGAATTGGAGTGTTTATCTCCGAGCGATTGAAGTCACTCATACCAAAAGTAATTCCTCCTCTCATCGAATACTCCGCACGTTTGTGTTAGCAGATGACCAGGTGACATTGATCTAGATATTTCTTTTCCATTAAGCATATTATATTCCATCGAAACATAACTTTTTCCCTTATTCCAGGGTCTTCGAGTTACCGTCTATGCTGCTGAAGATATGCTTGAACAGCTTGGCAACTTGCTTGTCCCTTTCAAAAAATACTACATATCTAAAGCTGCTGTTTGCCAACCACGAACATGTGCTAATACTGATGAATATCCATTCTGTTGGCTCGTCACTCCAGACACCGTCATACATGAAATACAGGAACCTGTTCCTTCATTTCCTTTTTATTTTCACCTAAACCCTTTTTCTATGCTAGATATCTATGCTGATACCCATCATTTGCTGAGTAAGTAGCAGCTTTGACAATCCATTTCTTCCACCCCCAGCAAAGTTTACCAAGCGTATACTAATATTTTCTTTTAAACAATATATATCAGATGTCATGGGAGTTGTTGTCCATATTTTACCTCCTAAAACAACACCTTGTCACGGATCACCTTCCATTTCTCGAGATTATGTGATTATTGATCAAAGGTAAACCCTTCCTGAGTCATCTCGTTCTTTTCCTATCATAATTTATAAAATCAAAATGCCTTTATCAGTAAACTTTATGCTCTTTTTTTCTTCCCAGTATGAAACCGATGATTCTAACCCTTTGGAATGAATTCGAAGAACTGGATGGTCCTATCATTAGAGCTCCTGGCCGCCATTTTCCCATCATTATTGCGACAAGAGTCAGGGTCACAACAAATAATTGTAGCTATATACTGCTCCTTTTTTCTTCAAGAACGTTAAATGCATCTGTTTCTTAGAAAGCTCTTGGTTTTAACACTTTTTTTATTTCAATATCAGACCTGAGCTTCTCAACTTCTCATTGTTCAGCCATTACGGTGGCTCCATTTTCACAACAAGCAATGCATCTTGATTTCTGGTCAGAAGTATTAAATATATGGCACACCGCTTTCCCATTTACATTGAGCTACTTAAAGACCGTTTCTCCCATTTTATATATATCAAGTACCACAGTCATGCACTTGCAATAGACAAGTTAATTGATAAAGGAAGTTACACTGATCCGCGAGTTCTTCTCCCTCCTGTTGCCAATAATAGAATTCTTCGTATTAGTACTACACTTCAACAGGTCGCTATCTTGTTCCTATTTATATTCTATAAATCGTGTTTACCTCCCTTCTATCCTTATTATTATTGTTTTATAGAGAACCACTACTGCATGGATTAGAGGAATCATTGAAATTTCCTTTAGGCCCCAAAAATTATTCTATATGGCATGCCCCCAATGTCATCAACCAAACAGCTTTGCAGGCACGTCGATAGTTCAATATGAATACTGTCAGGCTAGCATTGAACTCTTACCAAGGTTTTTAGAGCTCTCCAGTGCATACATTCGCTTTACTCAATGAATTCATGAAATGCATATTTTTTCATAACTGTCATACCATCTTCTCCTTTATAGAGCTTGTATTACCATTTTGATTGCTGATTCAAGCGGATCATTGGCTGCTACTGCTATGGGAACTGAAGCTGAAAAGTTAATTAACTACTCAACTGCTGACCTCCATTATTTATACGAACAGGTGCCTATTCATCCCTATCCAGTCACGACTGTTTTCTTCCCTCTATGTTTTCTTTACACTGATTTCTTCCCTTCTTTTTCTTGAACCAGAGAATTGATCTAGCTTCATACCTCATGCGTACTTTGCAAGGAAGGACAAAACTGTTCTACGTTAAACCTTCCTCTTCCAGATTTGCCGGCATCAAATGCGCAGCCTATGAAATAATTACTTCATACGCTATGGATGAACCCATGAACATCAATCACATCAACTTCAATGACCTTAACATCAACAACTAAGCTTTTCTTCGCTTGCCTTTAAATTTTAAGCTACTTCTAGCTAGATGGCTGCTAGACTTTGAACTTTTTTTATTATTCCCCCATGCATCTGTTATAAATTATTGCAACTACATTACAGCAATTTATATGCTCTATGTATTATTGTCTGATTTCATTCCACTGTCTTACCTTTCTCAATTATCAACCTTGTTGCAAAACTCCGTTAATAGAATCTGCCTGGGCATATACATTTTCAAATTTTCCCACCGCGCACTTGCGCGGTGATCCCCTCCTAGTTAACCATATAGACTAAGGGCGGAAGCCTGGTGTCCACGTCGACGTGGTCGTCCTCAGCGTGGCGGCTGGGGATTCGTTTGTTTGATGCTGGCGTGGAGCGGATGCGTTGTTTATTTTTTCCCCCGCACTGTTTTCTTCTTTTCTTTCTTTCTTCTTGCTCGGTGGGAGGCTGGCTGAGGTCGTGGGTCACTTCTCTGCCACTTGCTCAGTCTCCTGTGTACCAACTCCACCAAGCTGAAGCTTTTCCTCCTTGTGCGGTCTTCTTTGCAGCTCAAGTTTTACCCTCAACTTTTACCCTCAACTCAAGTTTCACCTTGTACGACCCGTCTTTCGTTGGCCCTATTTGCCTGCATCCGTTAGGTTGGCTCCGTCAGGTGCCTCTCTGCTGGCTGAGCCAGCTCGTCTCTGGCGGCTCCATCTTCCTTCTGTCCTTCTTTTTCTTTCTTCCTCGACCACAGATTCTGTTTTGTTTCGTTCAGCTGCAAAATTTTGCCCCCCGTAAAGGTCCAAAATTTATCTTCCCTGCCCCATATGTTAAAAAATCCCCCTTTTCCCCCCGCCTTGGCTTCTCCTCTTTTTTATTTTTTCCCCGCTCCATCGCTCTGTCCGGCTGCGTCCCCCCAGCCTTTACTGTTCCGCTTTGCCCCCTTACACGCCTTCTCCTTCTGCTGTCTCCCTGTGGCTGCTGACGGATTAGGTTGCTGCAATGATGGCCGATGTAGCTGCTTCTCCTTACCTCTCCCCACGACTGGTCAATTGTTCTTCCGTTGGTGTTTCCCTGCTGCTGCTCCTTCTCCCTGCTTCCTATTTCGCTCCGCCAGGTAACCTCTGCTCCTCTTTTTTTCACCTGCTTTTATCGCCTTCTCCGTTTCCCTTTCTTTTTCTTTTCCCCTCCATGTTTGTTGATTGCACATCCCACCAATTACAGCATCTGTTTTGGACGAATCCCTCCCCCCGCTCTTCCCACCCTCGCTTTCTGGTTCTTAATTTTACTGGATCAGTGTGCTTCCGTCTCCCCCCTGCCCCCAAATTAGCGCTGCCCCCTCCAAATTCTCCCTCAAATTACTGGCGCGATAGTGGATCAGCCAACCAATTCATGAAATTTTGTTGCATATACTTTTTCAGAAATTTTAAATTAAGCAAGCTGATTAATTTGAACCATAGCAGGATAGTAAGTAATCTGGGTGAATGTCAGAGAATATTTTGGAGTTTTCATTTTTTATTGACCCTATCGAAGAAGTAGAGAACAACAAAAGTGATGAAGTAGAAGGGTGAGAGCGAGTGAATTAAGGCTATTTCCTTGAATTGTTACCGTGATATATTCTAAATGCATTTACTGCTTTCCCTTCCTCTCTGATTCTCATCTAACCTTGCCTATTAGTTAGTTAATGCGTCATGTTTAGTGGTATCACCATGTGAAACATCCTTCCTGACATTAAGAAAATTGAACATGTTATATGACTTGAAAATTGTAGTTTTTCCATAATCTAAGATTTTCACATGGTCTTTGTGGTTTTGATTTGAGACAATTATCAGAGAAATATCATACAGTGCCAATTTGGTCTCTTTTTTGCTAAAAAAAGTTTCATGTTATTCTTTTTAATTGTCAATTTTTCTTTGTGTCTGAATCTAATTTCAAAGTGCTAATCCATGTATGGTCAATTCATGTCAGATCATCTATAAAGCAGCTGCGGAAATGGCTGCTATAGATCCTTCACAGTGTGTTGCCATTGGAGATTCTCTGCACCATGACATAAAAGGTGCAAATGCCACTGGTATCTCATCAGAATTTATCACTGGTGGGATCCATGCGACTGAACTTGGACTTGATACCTTCGGAGAAATTGCTGATGATTCTTCTGTGGTTGCTCTTGCCTTAAGACATGATGCTTATCCATCATATGTGTTGCCTTCATTCAATTGGTAGTCTGATGGTGAGCTTTCTTTTTTCATACAAGAAAATAATGTTTCTGTTGCAAAATGTATCTTGATCCTTTAATTCTAATGGACTGTCATCTTAAAAGATGGCCAGACGTTGTGCCAAAATGGTATAAATACTGAGTACGTGAATTAGGAATCTTTAGGAAATTTGGGATTATATAATTTTAGGTTACGAGTCCTGGTTTGAAATGAGACAAGTAATTAGCCCAAATTTGAGCAAGTACTTTTAGTTGGGTACCCAAATAAGCTCCATTAGTTGTTCAAAAATGTTATAGGCTATAATCAACGTTTAAATTTCTTGCTCTGATGTATTCACCCTGTGTTACAACTGCCATGACTATTCTTACATCATTGGCCGAGCTTGCTGTACCTCTGTCTGCGCATATATTATTGACTGGCGTGATTGCGTATCTGTTGATAAAGTGAGATCTTTTTATTCTATTTGCAGGTTTGAGAATAGAGGTTCTACTGATGCCATTGCTAATGTTCCATTTTCTATAGCACCCTTTGTAGCTACGGCGCCAGCTTTTAAGTTACTGTTCAAGGAGCCATCATCGTGCTTTTCATCTTTGTTTTGTTGTGATCAGTTGTCTCAACTACAGCAATGTATGAGAAAGCTGCTTATTTCTTGGTAGCTAATGGGTTCTAGGTTACAAGCAATGGGTGGTAATATAGTTTTAATTTAATGACTGTATGTTCTGGGTGACAGGGTGATCAGCTCATTAGCAGACTTGTCTTTACTAAAAAGTTCAGAAATACAAATTGCTCAATTTTAGAATGCTACTTGCAGACAAGGAAATAATGATGCAAACAAGAGATTTTTTGGTGCAGTCAGGTTATGCATTTCTTCTACTAAGAGTTCGTTTCACTGAATTTCTGCTTGTGAGAAAGAGATGGGAAAAAATTGTCACTTCTATTTTCTTGTATTTTTTTGTTAACTAATATGCTCCAGGAGATCTAGGATCTTTCAGAACAATTTGAAGTGTCGTTTTATGTATTTGTATGAATTGATTTATTGTGTTTTCATTTGTTTATTTGTTATTGTTAGGGTATAAATGAAGAATTAATAGGTGAATTTGACGGTAAATTTGCAGGTTTGGAGGGAAAGGATACAATAGAGAAAAATGAAAGCTTCCCAGAATATCATACCCAAGGGTTCTCTCTCTCTCTCTCTCTCTCTCTCAGTGTCCGTTTTATCTGTTAAATCCACTTTTGATTAATTAAGTTTCAACTATGACTTTTTTTTACTGCAAATATCCTTATGTTAGTATAATTTGCTTTAAATTACTGGTAGTTTAAATTGCTTGGACTATAATTTTTTTGTATTGAAAAATTTTGGAGTAAGTGATCTTACTTGATGGTCAAAGTAGAACCATACGAGGCCCTGCTGGGATTATTATCAATGGTTTCTTACTACAAACATATTTTTTTTAAGTGTACAATGTTGAGGACTCTTAAATGATAGGGAAGGTGGGTATATGATTTCTGAGGTATAAAAATTGCTAATGAGTCAGGAAATCCTGAAACAAGGTCTCTGACCCTAGGCTTGAGAAATCTTGAAGGTTTCTGAACCTCCCTGTTTGGCTTGCCTCTCCATGTTCTGTAATTTTGTTTTTCAGAATTAGTTATTTGTATCATTTTAATTTGTCGGTTTATTCCTAATACCAACTTACTATTCTTGTTCCATGTTTTTCCTTCTCATTTTACTTGAAATCTATGCTCTTTTTTTCACATGTAAATGCATATTTTTCCTTGGCATCGTTAACGCAATATTTTGTGTTGTCTCTTTCTTTTTGGCCGCTTGGCATTTTGATTCGATAATATTCTTAAATCTTAACTGAATTCTTTCTGCATTTAGAAGCTTGATTTTATTTTCTTAAATTTGTTTTCTAACAACCTTCCGTTCTTTGTTTGCTCCCTGCATAATCAAATGCCGTTTATTTTTATATGATATTGTGGATTTTTTTAATTCTTCTTTTTCCTTTGCTTGCATATAGTTTTGGGATAATTTGTTGTTTATACATTTTCCCCTTTCCTTGCTTTGTTTGTCAAACCTGTCATTCTATAATTCTTTAGGGGCCTATTATTGCTTGTAAATGATGGGTTGTCCTGACTACTTGATGTGTATTGTGTATAAATTTGTATTTAATTGTCTGTGAAGATGGCAACTTATGTGCCGTAACCTATTTTTGTTTAGTGGTTTTGTTATTCTGTTTTATTTACTTTAAAATCTCACATGAAAAATGCTTCTTTACTAAAGTGAACAATTCTGATTCGTACACAACTTTTAGGATATTTCTGAATTGTTGAGTCTTGCATCTGTTAGTAGCTTATATTTCCAAAATGCAAAACTTTTATGTGTTTTTGTTTGTGGATTTAGGTGCTTCTTCAAACACTGCATTTGGTAAACCTCTCTTCTGCACTCCTTCGAGAAGTAATAGCTGGTCTTAACAGGTATGCTTTGTTATTCAATCTTTCTTTTTCTTGTGTTTCACTTTGACATCTCAGTGGCTTTTTTTTCTTAAATTAAAAGTGGATTAAAATCTTGGAGGTTTCGCCATACCCAAGGGACGGAGAGTATTATTTTGGATTATAAGTGTTTACTTAGGCCTCAAGAACCCCAAGATTTTAAGTCTTCGAGGCTAGAAATCTTTGTATTCACTTGAGAGGTTGGATGCCTCCCTTCCACTTCATTCGTGACTTCTTGTACTAAGGCATGAATTTGGGTCTCATATCTATTTGTCCAGCTTATATTTCCAGAATGCAACAACTTTTATGTGGTTTTGTTTGTGCGTTTTAGGTCATTCAAACACTACATTTTACTAAGGCATGTACAATTGTTTTCTTCTTTTTACTTTGTTTAGTCCAAAGCCTCTGTGTCGCCGAGCTCTTCCCTAAGACGCGCTTCCATAATGCTTTTCTTATTTGCTTTAGCTGGATGACTAGAGATGACAGTTGATAGTGGTGGCTTGCTTTTCACTTTTATCCTAAATTGACCAAAGACACGTCTCACCGGGAGGGAATCTGCTTGGATTATTCTCACCAGTTTTAATGCTACTTAAGTTTGTTGTATGTTTAGCCTTTTTCTCCTTAATTAGGTATGTTTAGTCTTTTGATGTATTGTTGTTTAATTTATGTTTCTTTTACCATGAGATCCTTGTAATTTTGTAGTCTCTAAATTTTTATGAAAATTTTCATTTATTGCACATTATTTAATATTTGATTTGAAATTCATTTGTTAGCTTGCTTATATGCAGTTTCAATGTATTGATGTATTCAAATTTTGGTTCATAGCTTGTTTTCTTCAACATGTATATAAAAGGGGGAATGCAATGCCTCAAGAGGGTGCTTGTGTTGCTGACGCCGCAACATGTGATTGGTTGGAGAGTGTTCGTCCAAGCCTTTCTTAGGTTCCCATTTCATTTACTTTTTCATTCTTTTTAAACGCAGATGTGATTGATTGAAGAAGGTCACTTGCTCTCCCATTTCTTTTCCTTGTTCATCGCCATTCTCCTCTCTCTCTAAGCCCATCTCTCTGTTTTCTTCTTCATTTTCCTAAATGCCCCCAAAGCCCTTCTATCTCTTTTCTTCTCCATAACCGGCAACATCAGGACCAAAACAGATGGTATTTTTTTTCCTTTCCCTCCCTAAATTTCTCTAGCCTTTTGTGTTTCTTTTTAGCTTTAGTTGTCTAATCTAATCTAATCTAATTGGTATATATTTTTGATATTGCAGGTGAAAATTTTCGAATCTTTTCCAGCATTCTTGTGAGACTCTGAGATTTTTTCGCTTTTTTTTAATTGGGTTCTAAAACACGTGGTTAGCTTTGCTCCTTTTTTTCCCCTTTCTTTTGCCTTGTATTCTTCCTTTTTTTGACATATTTGTATCTTGATTTTGCTATTGGCCAAAAAGCATTAAAAAGGATTTAATAAATTTTAGAAAGTTTCTTTGAACTTTTCCCGATCTAATGCCTTTATAAGAAATTGTATCTTGATTTTGCTCTTTCCCAAAAAAACATTAAAAAGGATTTACTAACAAATTTTATAAGTTTTTTGGACCCACGTAGTAGTTCCAGAAACCCTATCTCGACATCATCTCCTTCAAATCCCAAAGGGTTGCCGTCTCTTCTCTCGCCGATCCCTTCTCGCTCTCCAAAACAAGGAGTATGGTTGGAAGAATTAAATCCAAAAACAAGGAAATCTGATTTTCTGTCCATGCTTTCTTGAGAGACCGAGGCTGTCAAGAGAAGATCATTATCAAGAAAAATTGTATGTGATTTTGCTTCTTTCAGTTTCATTCTTCCAGATCTCAGTTTTTTCACTATTTTTTTACACGCATTTTTAATAGTTCTCCTGTTACTTATTTGTCCTTTTTTCCCTGGCCTTCTACAGCACCTGTACAAACTTATGTGATTTTCTATTATGTATGGGAAAATTGCTTGGTGTATTTTTTGGTTGTTTTGGATTCATGGGTTGTTCAAAGCACAATGTCTTTGGCTAAAAACTTCGTAATTATTTCTGTGTAACATTTTATAACCTTCTTTTTTTCTATTTGTTTCCATTTTGCATATGAACAATCTATTTTTGCTCATATTTATTGTTGTTCACTTTTTGGGTTGAATTTTATAGGGGTAATGCTTTGTTTTGTATCAGTCAGTCTAAGCCCAAGCTTTGGGCTTTTAGCATAGTTCAGCTTTGGACAGGTAAGCTATTACACTTTATTTAGCAAAATATCTTAGTCAAATGGATGTGCTTGTATACTAATAATTAGTAGATACCTCTGTTGATTAAGAGAAAATGATTAAGTTTCTGTTGATTATCTTTTCTGCTATTTAACTTGCAAACGGTTTCTTTGTGTCCTTACTTAGCATTAAATTAGATGGACACCGGGCTCTTCATGATGGAATTAGGTATTAAATTTATCGACATATAATAAAGCAAATAACGGCCTTCTACTATTTTTAAAGTGCTGATTGTAACCTTTTTTATTTCACCTTTCGTTTTAATATATATAACTATCTCTATGAATCGAAATTTTTTTTACAACGGTGTCTGTATTGTGTATATAATAATGTAATGGAGAATTGTGTATTTGTAGTTATTGCATGTTTTATATTGTAATTGAAGATTGTTCATTTATTATTTGGCTACACTGGTGCAGTATGCCCCAACCTATGAATTGTACAAAAACCTTTGCCCCATACTTTTGCCTTCAGGGATAATTATATGGAAAAAGCTTGTCTGGCATATAGGTGCATAGATAGACACAGATGTTGATGTTCCTGTAAGTGAAAAAAGTTAGCTTAAAATGAGAGGGCTAATGATAAAAGAAAAAAAAAACTATGATATACTTTTGGAAAATATGGTAATTGCTGCTAATATTTAACCGTATAAAGTGGATTTTTGCAGTACCACTCAAGAATGCTTCTGCCATCTGATTAACAAAACTACGTGTTTAGTTATGTAGGAAGCAGAATCGGCCATCCTTGAAGCATTATCAAGATCAAAGCCTGGAAGCGTATGACCCTGGATACTAGATTTTGCACTAACAGTAGCTATGTGATCTCTGTATTACCTACTATAAATGTATATCAGCTCTTGATGGTTTATATCTCACGTGGATGGTGTTATCATGATAATTTTTATTTGGTTTGAAATCTTGTACAACTTGGTCAGTTATTTTGTACCAAGAGTTTCCATTCCTTTTGCTACTGATGTATTCAGAGGATAGAATTGTGGCCTATATTAATAATTCTCCTCCTTTTTTGGTCAAATGCAATTTATCCCACTAAAGGTGATATGTAAGCAGAGTTTCTTTTCATCGGATTTCTTGAAGTTACAGGCTAATGAAAACCTTTTTGGTTATTCTACTACACAGTAATGTGTTTTTTGGTCCTTGGATTAGTTTGAAGTGTAAGATTCTAATAACAAGGAAAAGCCTTGATGCAACACTACACTCTGCATTTTTTTTTCTTCCGGAACAGGTTTGATATGTGATGAGAACCTCTGAACTGCGGTCTACTGGTCTCAAGTTTCATAAATGTACATTATCTCATGCACTCATCTTTCCTTTTATGGGATTCTAGCTGTTGACGTCCATCCAATGATCTAGGGTAGAATTGCATCCAGGCTTGTGTAACTTCCTTTTTCCTTTTTTTGTGTGTGTTAAGTAGTTGACCATCCCCTATGCTATTGATGTATTGACAGGATACACCCTGCATTAGTAATCCTCCTTCGTTTTTGGTCAAATGCAGTTTATCTCACTAAGGTTGATATGTAATTACGAAAACAGGTGATTGGTTGTATCACATTCTAATAACAAGGCCAAGCCTTGATGCAATACTACATTGGGCTGTTTTTTTTTTTTTCATTTTGAGCTACAAAGTCACAGGTTTTTGTGTACATAAAAAATGTAAGGCAGCATTATACGGTGATATATTATTTTGTTTGCTCTACATATTTACAATTCCCGTATAATTACACCTTTCCAGTACAACTGATTTTTCGCTCATATTCCTATATAATATAGCTCCATTTTGTGCTGCTAATTTTCATTCTTCCCTATATTACTAGCTAAACGTTAACTGGGCATGTATACCACCGCGCATAGCGCGGTGTTACCACCTAGTCCTTCAAGATTAACAATTTACTGTTCCCTTGTATGTGCAATGGCCGTAGGAGAGAGGAAAACAAAATAAACTACCAAAAAAAAAAATCTCATACGCAAATGGGACAGTGAATCAAAAGGGGATTGAATTGACTCCGGACCAAATGAGTATGCTATGCATCTTGATTAAATTTCAAAAAAATCTTGAATTAAAATGCAAGTCGGGGGTTCAGATCCCCCAACGGGCTCAATTTACACCAAAGTCCCTCCCAAATATAGGTGGCAAACAAATTTATTTAATTAAATTTACTCATATCTGCCCATGAATAGATGGATATAGGTATCTTAAATTTTTGCATATGAATATAAATGGGTTACCCAATAAACCCACCCAATTAAATGGGTATTATTGGATAACCCATCAAATCCAATTAACCCATTTAAAATTATTTTCCCCCAAACCTCGTCTCTTCCCCTACTCTTTTTTTTTCGGATTCTTCATTTTGTCATAATATTAACTACTTTTGTTTCATTATTATTATTATTTGTTGGTTTTATCTTATTATTTTATTTTTCTTAATTTGTTAATTTTCTCATTTTTCAATATTACCAATTTACGACAAGTTGTAGCCTCTTTTCTTACCTTTCTAAAATGAAATTTTAAATTTACAGATGAAAAAAATACCAAAAATTCAAAATTTTTGGATTAAGTTTTTATGTTAAATTTTATAGTATTTAGTTCAAATTTTTATATTCTTATTGTTCAATTATTAAATAGTATATAATTATGCGACATAGAGTACAGACGGGAAAAAAATTGGTAATTAGGCTTATTGAACATTATAAGTAAATATTTAAAACTAATGATGGGTGCAAAAGGTGGTATAAATTGATAACTTAGTTTGCAAAAATAAATTTAAATGAGTTTACAAAAAAATAAAATAAAGGGGTTATAAATGAGTAATTGGGTTACCCAATTTATTTTTTGACTTAGCCATTTATACCCATCTAATTAAATGGGTATAAATGGATTGACTCATTTATACTCATCACCCATTTTAACCAATTCAAACCCGTTCAAGTCACCAATTTTGACACCTCTACTCCCAAGTGACCAACTCGGTTTAATAGGGTTGGCCAACAACGCTTGAACTCGCTTCTAAAATATTTAAATAAAAAAGATAGGGAAAAGAATAACCTTTAGGATTTTGGGCACTGATGAATTATCTCCAATTTGTCCAAAACTTTTAATTTGCACTTAACTATTAATTGAAGTGAACTTCATGCCAGTGTAATTGTGGAAACAGGGAATGGTACCACAGGTTTTAGCAAGTTGTTGCAATCTCATTGATCGATGGAAGATGCTGCTTGCAGCCGATGGACGAAGCGAAATTGACATCAATTCCGAATTGCATCGTCTCTCTGCAGACGTGATTTCTAGAGCAGCCTTCGGAAGTAGCTATAAAGAAGGAAAGAAGATCTTTGAACTTCAAAAAGAGCAAATTGTGCTGGCAACTGAAGCATATCGGGCCTTGTACCTCCCAGGACAAAGGTACATTTCCATTTGTAAACAAGAAAGAAACAAATCATAGCTCGAATTCATCCTTTTGTGTTCTGTTTTATAAGGTAAAAAAAATCAATGCAATCTATGGATGAATCTTCATTTATTTTATCTCCAAAATTTGCTCGAACGGTTGGTTCTACAGGTTTCTACCAACTAAGAAGAATAGAAGGAGATATCAGGTGGATACAGAGATCAAAGCAATGTTAAGAGATCTAATTTGCAAAAAGCAAAAGGCAATGCAAGATGGAGAAGCAGGTAATGCTGATCTACTTGGATTGCTTTTGCAATGCAAAGAAGAAAAGGGAAATGAACTGACAATTGAAGATGTAATAGAGGAGTGTAAGATGTTCTACTTTGCCGGCCAAGAGACCACTGCTATCTGGCTTACCTGGACTCTTATCCTCCTGTCTATGCATCCGGCCTGGCAAGAGAAAGCCAGACAAGAGGTTCTACAAATTTGTGGAAAGACAGCCCCTGATATGGAAATCTTGAACCGGCTCAAAATTGTAAGTGTGAATATGTTGTTGAGTCAGTCCAATTCTTTTCATCTTCCCCATCGACTCGTATTGTTTGTTGCTGCTATCCATTAACCAGTGACTACTATGGTGGGAGAATTGCTTAATTTACCTCTATGAATAATGCGGTCGAATTAAATTGTTCTTGTAGGTCACAATGGTGTTGTTTGAAGTCCTAAGATTATGTCCACCGGCAACTTACCTGGCAAGATATACCGTCCAAAGAACTAAGGTAGGGGACATTTCCATCCCTGCAGGGGTTGAAGTTTATGTACCAACGACGCTGTTGCATCATGATCCTGAGTACTGGGGAGATGATGCAGAAGAATTCAACCCAGAGAGGTTTGCTGAAGGAGTTTCCAAGGCATCAGGGGATCAATTGGCATTTTATCCCTTTGGCTGGGGACCTAGGATTTGCATAGCCCAAAACCTTGCAATCATAGAAGCAAAATTGGCTCTGGCTATGATTTTGCAGCACTTTTCATTCAAGCTCTCACCTTCATATATTCATGCCCCTTGTGCCGGATTTACTCTTCAGCCACAGCATGGAGCTCCGATTATATTGAAACCCATTTGAGGATTCTTTCGGGACAGAAAAGAGCTTAATAATACTGTGACTACTGATCGTGTGGAGACTTCTATTTTGCATTTCTGAGGGTAATTACACTAAATATTTGCAGCGGCATGAACTAAAATTCAAACCGATTCAATGATATCAAAGTAACACTACATTCCTGAATTAATCACCTAGTGCCCCTTGGCCATGCAGTGAAATACTTCTTTAGGAAAGCAAAAACCAGAAAAAAAAAAATCCTTCACAAGGTCATAAGTAGCATTTAATAAACTTATTTCCCCAAAAAAATGTAGGAAGTTAGAAAATGTGGCTATCTCAAATATTTCTAAATTCACAAGTACATTCATTTGCTGGATTCCTTTTGTCCCGCCTATAAGTCCTAAGGAAAGAATTAAAAGCTTCCAGTTTGATCATGACTTCTTACTTCTTCTTTTTTTTTTTTGGTACCAATCGACAATACATATACTATTCTATTCTACAGGAGAGGCGAAATTCAACTGAGTTGTATAAGGGGCTGCAGCGAAAATAGGTCCTTCTAAACTAAAGGTGTCAAAATAAGTTATTTGGACAAGTTTGAGCGAATCATAATTGAATAATGGGTTGACTTAATTATATTCATTTAATAAATAAGTATGAGTATAAATGAATCACTTAAAATTCTATTTTTTTTTTATTTTTTTGCATGTTATTTAACAAGAAATAAAGGTATTTTATTGTTATTAGATTAATAAATATATAATTATTTTTAAATAAATATAAATGAACGGGTCAAATCAACCTTCTCTCCACTAATTAAATAGATTTAATTAGATACTATTCATTTAGATCCATTCAAAATTAATGGACGAATTTGACAGGTTATTAATGAGCCGATTTGAATGGGTCAATATAGTTACTTTACGCTCTAACCTTAGGCCAGAAATTGCAATCCTGAGTTGTTGTATGTTTCCACTTTCCACGGTGTTCACTGCAAAGTCGACAACAACAGCATCCCTTCGACAACAGAAGATAAGGAAATACACCCAAAACAAAACAACATTAATTAGCTTCCCTTCGACAACAGAAGATAAGGAAAAACACCCAAAAAAAAAATAGTTTCCATTTTTCCTAAACACCAGAAAACGCAGAACATAAACATAGATTAAACATATGGCCTCCATTGTCCTATATCTCAACAATTCGGCAAAAGACATAACATTTCCCCTGCTTGAAGACCGGTTTCAGTTCCTGAATCCGAATACTAGCTCCGACTCATTGTTTTCAAGTCTTGCCGGGACGGTTCGGATCCTGCTTTGTGTGGCAAATTCACCGGTTAACTCC